AACAAGAAGATCTAACAACTGTAAATATTCATGCCCCTCACATAGGAGGAGCCAATTACATAAGCCAATTAATAACAAAATCAAAGAAACACATCAACAATAATACAATAATAGTAAGGGTCATTAACACCTCCCTCACTGAAATGGACAGATCATCTAAGCAGAATATCAACAAGGAAATAAGGGCTTTAAATGACACACTGGACCAAATGTATCGCACAGATATATTCAGAATAGTCCATTCCAAAGCAACAGAATACACATTCTTCTCTAGTGCCCATGGAACATTCTCCAGAATAGATCACATCCTACGTCACAAATCAGGTCTCAACTAGTACCAAAAGATCGGGATCATTCCCTGCTTATTTTCGGATGACGATGCTTTGAAACTAGAACTCAATCATAAAAGGAAAGTCAGAAAGAACTCAAATACATGGAGGCTAAAGAGTATCCTACAAAAGAATGAATGGGTCAACCAGGAAATTAAAGAAGAATTTAAAAAATTCATGGAAACAAATGAAAATGAAAACACAACTGTTCAAAATCTTTGGGATGCAGCAAAGGCAGTCCTAAGAGGGAAGTATATAGCAATACAAGCCTTTCTCAAGAAACAAGAAAGGTCTCAAATACACAACTTAACCCTACACCTAAAGGAGCTGGAGAAAGAACAGCAAATAAAGCCTAAACCCAGCAGAAGGAGAGAAATAGTAAAGATCAGAGCAGAAATCAATGAAATAGAAACCAAAAGAACAGTAGAACAGATCAACGAAACCAGGAGCTGGTTCTTTGAAAGAATTAATAAGATTGATAAACCCCTGGCCAGACTTATCAAAAGCAAAGGGGAATGATCCAAATCAATAAATTCATGAATGAAAGAGGAGAGATCACAACCAACACCAAAGAAATACAAACAATTATAAGAACATATTATGAGCAACTATATGCCAGCAAATTAGATAATCTAGAAGAAATGGATGCATTCCCAGAGATGTATCAACTACCAAAACCGAATCAGGAAGAAATAGAAAACCTGAACAGACCTATAACCACTAAGGAAATTGAAGCAGTAACCAAAAATCTCCCAACAAACAAGAGCCCAGGGCCAGATGGCTTCCCAGGGGAATTCTATCAAACATTTAAGAAGAATTAATACCTCTTCTTCTGAAACTGTTCCAAAAAATGGAAATGGAAGGAAAACTTCCAAACTCATTTTATGAAGCCACCATTACCTTGATCCCAAAACCAGACAAAGACCCCATCAAAAAGGAGAAATACAGACCAATATCCCTGATGAACATGGATGTAAAAATTCTCACCAAAATACTAGCCAATAGGATCCAACAGTACATTTAAAGAATTATTCACCATGACCAAGTGGGATTTATTCCTGGGCTGCAAGGTTGGTTCAACATCCGCAAATCAATCAATATGATACAATACATTAATAAAAGAAAGAACAAGAACCATATGATCCTCTCAATAGATGCAGAAAAAGCATTTGACAACATCCTTTCTTGATCAAAACTCTTCAGGGTATAGGGATAGAGGGTACATACCTCAATATCATAAAAGCCATCTATGAAAAACCCACAGAGAATATCATTCTCAATGAGGAAAAACTGAGAGCTTTCCCCCTAAGGTCAGGAACGCGGCAGGGATGTCCACTATCATCACTGCTATTCAACATAGTATTAGAAGTCCTAGCTACAGCAATCAGACAACAAAAAGAAATAAAAGGCATCCAAATCAGCAAAGAGGAAGTCAAACTCTTACCCTTTCTGCTTCACTACCCAGCTTCACCCACCTTCTTTCCTAACTGCCCCAGCCTTGCCCAGGTAAGACTCGAATGGGACTAGACATGGAGTTGGGAGAGGGCAAGCAGTGTGGACACGTTTACTGAACAAAGAGATGGGTAATTTTCCACCCCCCAAAACCTCTTGTGACTCCCTGCAATAGATTGTTAGGTGGGAATTAGATATAAGAGCAAAAATTAAAGGGAGTAAGGATCTTTGGGGAAAACGTGCAACTTCAGACAGAAAAGCAAGGGAGGGGAGAAGTTCATTTGCTGAACACATGCTGGATGGCATCTGTTCTAAACACACTGTCACAGTTCACCAAGCAGCCCTGTAGAAAAGATTCCCTGCCCCACTCCCGTTTACAGAGGAGAAAAGTGGTATTCAGAATAGGGAACTGATTTTATTAAAGTCACATAGCAAGTAAGCAGGGCAATAAATGTGGACACTCAGATCTTTCTGTTGCATAAGCCTGCAAGCTTTCCCTGCTCTCCAGGCTGTGTGCCAACCTGCCTCTAGGCTCTGCTGCTATTCCCAGGAAACAATAATGACAGAATTAACAAAAAGTTATTTCCTCTCCCCAGCTTGGGAGCAGAGCCAATGAGAGGGGTTCAGGAACAAACCATGATGACCTGTACTCACCATTCAATCTCTTGAGGCTCACGGTCCCTCAGGAGCTCTTGCACCTCCTGCCGACAGTGCTCCTGGTATTCTGGGTGCTTTGCAAGGTTGTACAGGACCCAGGAGAGGCCACTGGCTGTGGTGTCATGGCCTGAGAGGCAGCCAGACAGGCTTGCATCTCTGGGCTTGTTCAGCCCCAGAGGGTGGACAGCGCCTTTAATTAAGGCCCTCAAGGGTGGATGGGGAGGATGGGGTGGGATGGGGTGGTCCAGGGCCTACCTACCAAGTTCCTGGGACTGGACAGACCCCTGCCCCCGACCCATAGTCCCACACTGGGATGCTCACCCTCAAACATGAAGGTATCAGCCTCAGCTCGGATGTCCTCATCTGACAATTGTTTTCCATCTTCATCCTGGAGAAAGGGCAAGACCTCTTGAATCAAACCAGCTCTGAGGGTGTCTAAGTCTTAATCTGAAACAGTCCCTCAGGCTCCATCAACAAAGCAGGATCTGTCCCTCATCATCTCTAGAGCCCACCCCACAGGTCTCCTTCCTGGTCCCCAGCCTTTTATTTATCCCTTTCAGGCAGCCTTCTACAGAGTCAAAACATATCCCTGACCCATCTCTCCCTTCCTCAAGCACCTTCCATGGTTGCCCAGTACCCTGCGGGTCAAGTCCAAGTTCTTCCATGTGACATTTGAAGTCAAGGTCCATTCTATCTCTTGAATTCTGATCCCAGGGAAGCCCACCTTGGCCAGCAGGAGCACATCAATGAAGTCCAAAGTCTTGGCCTTAGCCTTGGCCTTGAGGAAGTCATGGGAACCCCCACTAATGAGGGCACGGCGCCGCTCCTGGATGACAGCATCTGTGAAGCTGTGCACCAGGTTGCAGGCCCTGCGGAAGCGCCACCCATTGGGGGTGAGATTGTACAGGAAGTCCATGTGCAGGAAGCTCTGCTCCTGCCGTTTCACCACAAGGGCACTGAGCTCCAAGATGGCAGCAATATATTCACTGGGACTCCTGCAGGGCCAGGCCAGAGAGAACCTTAAGAAACAGCTTCTTAACCCACATGAAACCCTAAGAGCACCTTCCAACCAGAAACCCAGAAGCACTGTGGCACATGCTTTGCTCATCATAGCCCCCTGGACTTTATTCAAAAGAGAGTGTTCTCCAGGCATGCTTCTCCCTCTACATCCCACCTTTATGAACGGCCTCATGTCCCAGACCCCAGGGCAGAGCTTGGGCATCATGCTCGTCTCCTCTCTTTCCTACACAATATCTGACCCTGCCCATTCTTTCTTAGTTTCTCCCAAATCTGCCCCATTTCCTCCAACAAATTCAAGCCTTCTCCTCTCCATGGTCCCCTTGAATTCTGTGTCTATATGACAGCTGGTCTTCTTTAGAGTCAGATGTCCAAAAACAGCTTTGACCATGACCCTCATCTATTCAAACACCTTCCATGCCTCCCTGGAAACCTCAGGATAAAGTTCATATGCCTTTGTCTGGATTTTGAATATCCTTAAGATAAAGCCCCTGCCAAGCCCTCCAACCTCATTCCCAAGGTGGCTCCTCACTGTGGCACATGCTTTGCTCATTGTGGCCCCCTGGCCTTTATCAAACATTTCTACCTACCTGAAAGGATCACTCTTTCTCTTTCCCTTCCTTGTCCTTCAATGTCTAGCTCTGATCCATCTCCTCCAGGAAGTCCCTTCTGATTGTGCTGACCAGTCCTCCATTCCCCATCTACTCCCTTGGGTCTATGGCTCATGTTCCCATGCCCAGGGCAGAGACTCACTCCTGGCAATTGCTGTCAAAACTGAAGACACATTTTTGCAGACTGTCCAGGGTCATGAGGCTGATGTGCTCAAACATGTCTAGATGGGTGCTGCCTTCCAAGGCCAGGCACTGCCACTTGGCCTGGACACAGAAAGGGGCAAATCTGGGGTTAGGACCTGCCTCCCCTGAGCTCCTCCTCAGCCCCAACCACCAAGATGGACTCCCCCAGACCCAGCCTTCTGATCCTCCACCCCAGGTACCCATCTCCAGGAAAGACCAGGCTTGGGAGGGAGTAGAAACTGTTACTATTAACAACCCATTAAAAAAAAAAAAAGACCCCACGGCTGGGAGTCAGGAGACCTGAGTTCAAATCTTGGCTCTGCCTCCTATACTCTGTGTGGTCTCGGTCAGCTCATTGTCTTCCTCCTGTCAAAACTCATTGGGATCTACCTGTCAAAGCTTCAGTAAGAGTTAAGATGACTTGCTTTGGTGTCAGACAAATCAGGTTGGAATCCCAGCTCCACTTATTAGCTCACTTGCTAGCTGAACATGGGCAAGCTCTCTAACCTCTCTCAACCTCAATTTCATCATGTGTAATGAGGCAATAATAATCATATGGTTGTGAAAATTAAATTAGACAACATATGCAATAGAACTGGTGCATTATTTCTGGTATACAGCAAGTGCTGAATAACTGTTAGCTATCATCCTCATCTTCATAATTATCATAGTGGTAGGTGACTGCTGCAAAAATGTCCCCATTCCTTTGTCCCTCCCTATACCTTCACCCTTTGCAATGAGGTTTTGCAGGTCTTCCATTAGGAGGTAGAACCTCTTTCTCCAGCTCTTGAGCTGGATGTGGGACTTGTTTGGCCAACAGAAGAAGGTGGAGGTCATAGTTGCCTGTTCTGAAATTAAGATTCAAGAGGTACTGCATGTTTCTCTTCTTTCTCTTGGAGCCTCCACCATGTGATCAAGCTCAGGCTAGCCTACTGGAGGATGAGGGACAAATGCAGGAATCCAGTTGTTCCACCAAAGCCATCCTCGACCAGTGCCCCAAACATGCAGCAGAGCTGAGCCTGGATGAGCAGAGCTGTCTCCCAAACCCACCCATGACCACAGACATGTGAGTGATTCCAGCCAAGATAAGAACTACTCTACTGACTCACCATCTTGGGAGCAACAACAAACACTCATTCTTTCAAACCAGTGAATTTTAAGGTGAAATGCTATGCAGAAAGAGCTATTATACAAACTTCATCATTAGTGTCTTGAATTTTACAGAGTTTCAGTGAGGCAGACTAGAAACTAAAACCTTCTGAGCACCTACTAAGTGCCAGGATCATGATTCCATTACCTCATCTTGACCACTCTTTAAGAATGGCTTATCCCCTCCCCCATTTTACAGATGGGGAAACTGAGGCTTAAAGAGGAAAAGGAATGGCCCTAAAGCCATCCAGCCAAGCCAGGACTCCAGATCATATGTGTCTGAGGCTACTCCCCTTTTCCCAAAGCTCCAGCTGGGACCCTGGATTTAAGGAACTCACATGCATGATGCCTGCGCTTTTGTTGAAAATCTTCACATAGGGTTTCAAGATTTCAAAGTGGAAGGCAGGTGTCAGCAAACGGCGGTGGTGGCTCCACTTGTCACCAGCACTCAGCAGGAGCCCATCCCCTAGTAGAGGCAGTCACAAGGAATGGACAAGGGCAGTGCCTTCCCCTGAGACCCCAAGGTTGTCCCCAACCCCCTTCACCCACAGTTACTCACCCAGCCAGGGCTTCAGGAGGTTGTAGAAAAACATATCCTTGGGTATGATGGTGGCTGACACAAGAGATAGACCATCAGGGGCCATGCAGAAGAGGTGGGGAAGGGCTTTTTGTTGGGAGGTGGAGGATCCCAATCAGGGGTCTGCATACCCCCTTTAAGCCCAGTATAGCAGGAATGGGAACAAGGGCAGAGAGAACAGAGAGGAGTGGGTAGATGAAGGGGGACCAGACCAGGCTGCGGCACAGAGCAGAACAAAGGCAGAGCCTGCAGACACACTTAGATGTACTTAGATGCACCCTAACATGGCACAACACACCCCAACATGACTTGACATGGCTCCTACCCGGTCCAACACGTTCAAAACACCCGAACACAAATCAGCACTCTACAAAATGCCTTTACAGGGACCTAGGACACCTCATCTGTCCCAGAGCCCCCTGACATTTCCTGCAACAGTTGACATGGCCACACCGTGTGTTGGGGCTAAGTCCTGACATGAAACAACATGCATAACACACATCGACAGGACGCAACATGCTCTGACATGGACCCAAAGACAATCTGACACGACCTCAGTGTGTCCTACAGATGGTCCCAGACAGGACTTAAAGGTCCTATTAATGTCCCAAACATGGCCCAGGAGTGACTTAGCCTTCCTCAGTATCCCCTTCCACCCCATACTGGCCATTAAGTACTTAGGTAAGGGGTTCCTATGCCCTTAAAGAGACCAAAGGATGCTGCCACCCTCAGATGATGAGCCCCATCCACCACAAAGAGCTGCCACTGCTCCCTTCTGCCTCTAGACCAGCCCCCCAGGGCCAACCAGACACAGCTGACCAACCTGAGGTCTGGTAGATCTTCCCCCACAATACTCTGGCCATCTTCACACCCCAAATCCCTTTCCAGCTTAGAGTCCCTCCCAGCAGAGGCAGCTAGAGCAGCAAGAATACACAGAAGAGGGAAGCTTCAGCACACTGTGTGGCCTTCAGAAGTTATTATGCCCCCTGAGCCTTGGCTTCCTCACCCAGGAAATGCCAACCTAGCAGGGATGCTGGTGGATGGACATCCGTGGTATCTACTTGCCCAGCATTCATCCCCTTCTGGAACTAGCATCTCGTTCCTCCACCACTCTCAATCCAAGTAGTTAGGAGAGTGGCCATGCCACCCCATCCTCTGTTCCAGAGCTGAGCATATGACCCTAAGCCTCAGCAATCAAGTCTCAGTGACTACAGGAAGAACTGTTCCCTGTGACCCAGGTCAGGCCAATGTAAAGGAATCCTGCAACTTTTTCTGGGTCTGCAGAGAATGAGTTCACATTTCCACGGGAGCTGAGCTTCTTGGACTCATCTTTATCAGCATGAGAATGAAGCTGTCAGAGAGGAACACAGAGCTACAAGATGAAGATAGATTCCCAGTGGCACTCTTTGAAGACCTGGATCCAACCATGTCAACCATGCCTGAAGACAACATTCTCTCTATTCTTCAGTCAACAGATTCACTTTCTTTACTTAAACCAACAGCGTTGAATTTCCACCACTCAAAACTGAAAGGGACTGGCAACCAGAGAGAGCCAGGGACCTGCCCAGAGCCATCCAGCAGGTTAATGGCGGGTCTCCGTCAACATTGCCCATTTCCCTGCTTAACCTGGTCTGTCTGGGGGTGGGAAACTGGGCGCAGGGGCAGGGGAGTGGCTAGGTTGGGGCTCCTGGGAGAGATACCTGGGGCCTGGAGCAGGGGAGCAACAAAGGTAGGGTGGACAAGTCTCAGGACAGGGTAGAAGGGCCCGATCCAAAAGAGGTGAACGTCACGGAAGTGGTGGCCCAGATCCTCTATCATCCGCAAGCCTTCCTCATTGCTCTTCACCTGGGGATGGCAGGGCCGGGAAAGGATGGGTGGGAGGATGAGGCCAGGTCAAGCAGGAGAACCAAGAAGCTCACAACTGCCCATTGCAACCCTCCACCCACCAAACCCCCTCCCCCACTTCCCCCTTCTGCCCGCATTATTAGTCTACACTTCTATATCTCACTAAGTCAGCTTCCTTCTGTTGGTCTGTTGGTCTTTCATGTGTCTATCTATCTATAAGTCTCTCCCTGTCCCCTCACTCTCTTCATCTGTTTCTTTAGGTAGTTGATAAATAGCTAGACAATGATAGCTAGCTAGCTAGCTAGCCAGACAGACAGACAGACAGATAGATAGATAGATAGATAGACAGATAGATAGATAGACAGATGGATAGACAGATAGATAGACAGATGGATAGACAGATAGACAGACAGACAGATAGAGATGATAGATAGATAGATGATAGATAGATAGATAGATAGATAGATAGATGATAGATAGATAGATGATAGATAGATAGATGATAGATAGATAGACAGATAGATAGATGATAGATAGATGATAGTTGATAGATGATACATGATAGATAGATAGATAGATAGATAAATAGATAGATAAATAGATAGGCAGATAATGGATGAATGGAAAATGGATGGATGGATGGATGGATGGATGGGTGGATGGATAAAGGACAGAAGGAGAGAAATGAGAGATGGATGGATTGATGATAGACAGATGATAATGTGTTTGCATCTGCGTATGTGTATGTTTCTTTTACACTCTCTGTATGTCCTCTCTCTCCCTCACTTTTTCTCTGTATCTCCCTTTTTCTTCACCCCTATTTCTCTCTCCATCTCTCCTACTCCTTGAGTCTGTGCCTCCTCACCTCCACACCCTCCATGGCTCCTCAGAGCCCTCAGAATAAATCCCCTGCCCCTGCTAGCTCTGCTGTCCCCCCCGCCACCTTTTCCCCTGCCTCTCATCATATTGCTCTCACTGCACTGAACTCCTTGTTGCTCAAAAACCAGGTGCTCGCTCTGTCCCCTCCAGGCCTTTGAGTGGGCTCTTCCTCTCCACAGCATATACTTTATCTTTTTTTCTTAAAAAAAAATTCCTACCCATCATTCCAGACCCCTTCAAACGACTCCTCCTCCAAGAAGTCTTCCAGCCTGCCCTAACAGCAGAGGCCTTGCTTCCCCCTGGGTTCCCCCCAGCCCCTATCTCTCCCTCAGACCCACTCTGACCACACAGAACTGGGGTTGTCTCTAGTTCTACATGCCCAAGATTGGGGTTCTTCCAGGACAGAGCCTGGGGCTGAGTCTCTCCAAGCATCCTGAAGCAGTGTGCAGAAAGAAAGAAATGACCAAGGGCACCCAAGAGCAGGAAGGGCCTTGGGATCTACAGAAGCTTGGTAAGGAGGGGCTTGTGGCCCCCAGATGCTACTACAGGGCCCACCACCATGTATTCCAGGTGGGTGCCTGTGGCATGGTGACAGATCAGGCAATGTCAGGATTGCAAAAAATAGTGAGAGCCTATGCAGAACATAAATCCCTGGGGGTAGGTGGCCACCAGCTGAGTTATGACCCTTAAGCCCTGCTCTGCGGGGGGGGAGGGGGTCTACAAGCAAGAAAGGGGCCATCACCTCCCCAGAAGGAACCACGGCAGGTCCCCCTGCAGCCTCTATAGTGCACAGGGTGTCCAGATTCTGCATGGATGGAGGGAATCTCTGCTTCCTCCTGCTCCCTTCCTCTGGGAACAGGAGGGTCCTGGAGGCCTCTCCACGTCCCAAGGGTACATCCCAGGTCACAGGGAGAAGACATGCTCTCTGCCCACAGAGAGGCTGACCTTGGCTTGAGAAGTCAGATTTTTCTTCTCCTGGGAGTGGTTCCAAACTCAGCGAGGTCCCCATGGGGGAGGTTTGTGGTCAGCAGGGTGGTCTCAGGACTTCTAACTGGGGCTCATTCCCACACCCTGTCATGTCTTGGCCAGTGTACACAGCCCCCAGTTCCTCACATGGTGAAGGGTCTGCAGACCTTCCAGCCCTGGCAGACCCCAGGGGACAGATGTGAACTCTGCTCATCAGTCAAGAGGGCAGCTCCCACCTATGAGCCCATACTGCCTGCCAGGCTGTGCATAGAGCATCCTGTCTGTCTATCTATCTATCTATCTATCTATCTATCTATCTATCTCCCCTGCATCTATGGACTTTCCCATCAGTCATGCCATTTACAAATGAAGAAACCAAGGCCACGTGCCCCAAAAGGAGAAATGGGGCATGGTCAGCTCCTGGGGACTCATCCTCTCCAGTGTCTCTCCATCCCTCCAGGATGCCCCATGCTGGCCTGAAAAATACTCCCAGGTGCTCCAGACAGGTGAACAGAAGGCATTTATACCTTTTTGACTGCCCCCTGATCCCCAAGGACCCTGAGACACTTGATGAGTTTGGCCCAGAGAGGGAGAGTGACTCAGCTGAGGTCACGCACACAGCGAGAGGGACTAGCAGAGAGAGGAGGACCCAGAGCAGTTTCCACAGCCAAGCTCTTAGAGGGGGGCGTTGAACTGCAGTAACTTGATAACATTCCTGCCACTTCCAGGGCTTGCTGAGAAATTTCCAAGACCTAGAATTTTTAAGCAACCTTCAGGATGATCTTGGGACATCCTGTCCTGTAATGAGCTGGTCTGCAAGAGGGGAGGGGAGGAGCTGGATGCCCATCCCTTTGGCACTGGATGACCAAGAGAGTGATGGTAAGTTCACCCAAACCTAGGACATGGCCTTCGCCATGACATCATCAAACGTTTATTAAGGGCCAACTCCATGCAGCTCCTGAGCTGGGCATTATAGATATGTCCGTTCTCCGGTGCTATTGCCTAGTGGGAGAGAGAGATAACTCACTAATAATTGGACAAGTGACGGTTTAAGCTTAAGCAGGACCAAGTCAGAGGTCCAGGTCTAGTGGGGGAAGTCAAGGGAGGTTTGGAGAAGTTACACTTGAGCTGAAAAATGGGATGAAAAGGAGAGATTGACCCAGTGGCTGCAGGACGGGAAGCCCTTCCTGGCAAAGGAGCAGCAGGAGCAAAGGCCCTGAGGTAGAAAGGGTTTGGCTCTTTGAGGAAAGAAGCAGGGGCTTGGAGTATCTAGCATATGCAGCGGGCCTGACGACACTTAGTCTCTATGTTCAGAATGATGGGCAGTCTTATAGAATGATTTTTCAGCCAAATAGAGGTATAAACAAAAGCTAAATTTCAGAAAAATGTCTCCGGGGCTCAAGAGAGAAAGGACAACAGGGGACAAGGGTGGCGATGAGGAGCCTGAGGAGCTGGAGAGAGGGCTTCCTGGACAAAGATACCAGCGGATGTGGCAGGAGGAGTGGCAGGAGGTTGCAGAGAAGGGACAGATTGAGGAGAGGCTGTGGAGGCAGCACGTCGGGTCGTGCTGAAGGACCAGGCTGCGGAAGAGGAGAGAGGGGGGCCAGGGGCCCCAAAGTGTGCGGAGTGGGCAAAGGAAGGGTGAACCAGACTGAGGGTGGGGCGGGACTGGGAAGGGGGCCTGAGTTCGGATTTTGACGTGGTGGAATGAGGTGTTTAGGAGACCCCACCTGAGGAGGGGAGGCTGGGACTTGAACTTGTAATTCACTCGTGGAAGAAGTCCATGTGGCCCACTGAGGGAGTCAGAGCCTGGGGTACGGGGATGGCCTTGGGAGCCAGAGAAGAGGGAAGGAGGGTTAGGACCCAGAGGGCTCCCCACATGGAAAGGTGGGGTGAAGGAGGAGCCCGGCGGAGCCCCGTGGAGGGTGGTGCGCTGGAATGCCAAAACCCAGAGGACAAGGAGCTTCAGGGCCAGTCAGCGGTCAGCAAAGCCAGATGGCTTCTGGCTGGGGAGGAGGTCCTGGTCATCTCGTGGAAGCACGACAGGGGTGGGAGCCAGGCTGGAGCCGGTGACCGGCCCAATGGGGGCAATAAATGAAATAAGTCTGGCCGTTAAGGTCAAGGCCAGAGTGATTCCTTCCGAAAGGGGAAGTGGTCAACTTTTATCCAAGTTGAGCAATGGGGCCCACGGATACACTTTGGGGGTGGAGGGCAAGATTACATAAGAGGAAGGGGAGGAAAGAGTCAGACAGCCCACACCTCTCCTCTAGCCCAGCTGTGCCCCCATGGCGGGCGGGGGGCGAGGGCAGAAGTCATAGCTGATTCCTGTGGCGAAGCCCAAGCCCAGACAGGAGCACCTGCTGGCCTGAGGCCAACAGAAACGGGCCAGGCAGGGAGTGAACCCTGGACAGTGGCCCTGGGGAGACTGTGGGGGCACCGGGGGACCCGGCTCGTGCAGCCCTTCACTGCGTCCCAGACCCCAGCCCAACCCCTGATCCCCACTCCCGGCCCCTTGGGAAGTCCATTCACCCCGATGGCCCAGACCATGTCCCACCCACACTCACCAGGCCCATGTGGCCCCAAAACCAGCTCCGTCCTGGGGGCTGCGGGAAACACCGGAGGCGGCAGCAGATGTCATGGAAGCGGTGGCTCCAGGCCAGGACGCGGGCCAGCAGCCAGGTGGCCCCGGCCAGCAACAGGAGCAGCCACGGGGAGGCGGCCAGCTGCCCCAGGCCCAGCCAGGACAGGCTCCACTGTGACATCCTGGGGCACAGGGGACAGAGGGGGAGCTCCTGAGACCCAGCAGTGGGGCAGAAAGTGAGCTCCCTGGACTGCTCACAAATGGGGGGGCAGGATGGGAGGGACAGGGACAGGGAGGGGCAGGGAAGGTGAGCGCGGGGCGGGGGGGGGCTCTGAGCAGGGAGGTGAACACGGGGAATTCCAGAGGAAGAGGCAGAGGGAGAGGGAGAAAAGGAGACACAGAGCAAGAGATAGTTAACCACCCACTGGTAGCCCCTCTTACCCCAGGACAGCTGCTTTCTGGAGCCCCCCTCCGCCAACCCTGGGCAGCATCCTTCCCCACCCGGTGCCAGGACACCCAGCCTGGTACCTTCAGTCAGGAGCAGCTTAGCCACACAACCTCCTCTCCTCTCCTGTCGGGAAGTCTTTGCCTCTGGCCCCTGACCTAGGGGACAAGGCTACCAGGAGCCAGGCCAAGCCATCCAATCCCTGCCTGACTTCTTACACCCTCCCCACTTGGCAGTGGGCCAAATGGTGGTGGGGGAGGGGGCCTTGAGCGTTATCAAGATAGTTTAGGCTCTGGATCCTCAGAATTCAGCACTTCCCACGTGGGGTGGGGGGGTGAGTTGAGGGATGGGCAAAGGTGACTCTCAGCCCCCAAGTGAACAGCCACCTCTGCCCTTTCAAAGCTGGGGTGCAGCAGGTAAAAGCTTCAACTTGAGAGTTCAGGTGCCATGGGAACAGGATCAG